CGGAGGGACGGATGAGCGGAAGAGATCGGCGTGTGTGTAATCAGTGTGCTACGGGAACAATTAGCATCATTTGCTGCGGGTGACAGAGCATCTATGGTTTTAACCAGTGTGCTATGATGTCGATTCTTAAAAATAATCAGTCATCAGTTCTATATTTTCATAGTTATACTTATCTTCTTTCTTAAAGATAAAGATATCTAACATCCTTGTGAATTAACAAAGGGGGTTGAAAATGTCAGAGAAGTGGGAAGATGGGTATGTGGTTTGAGTATTTTCAAATGCGATACTTTTATTCAACGATCAACAAGATCATAGTTACGGACAGAGGCAAGAGTAGTCTGCCTTGTTTACTCGGAAATAGTTGTAACTTGTCCATGCACCAGTGTTGCCACTTTGGATCTTTTATATCCAAATTTAGATCTTTTTCATTGCATTTAGATACTGTTTTTGACGTTTAGATCGTAAATATTTTTCTAGAAACTTTTCATATGGAGTTAGATATTTTATAAATTTTTTTTCTTTCATTTTCAATTTAATAATTACTGTGTAAAATAAATATCTTGCAGCCCCGGTACTGATTAATAAAAACGCGCGTAAATCATACTAACTTTGTTTCAACCGTATCCTCACTGTGCTGACTTTGCGTTTCTTTTTCATGTGATGTAAAAAAAATAATTGCTCAATTTCTTATGTGGCTTTCACTTTGAAAAAACCTTTCAACATGCCAAAAGTAAAGTATGAGCAAAAAATATGGAAAGAGTGGTTGCATGATGACAAAATAAAAAAACTGGGTATATAACCAAAGCTTGTTGTAAGTACTGCAAGTGTGAAATTAAAGCGACAATACAAAACTCAAAGAGTCATGCAGAGACTGAAAAAAGCATAAAACTGCAGTTTCATTTAAAGATATTACACCGCTGACATCTGTTTTCAGAACTATACTGATAAATGAATCATCAAAAGTTTAAGTATCAGTCGAAATGTTTTTAATTTGACACTGCGCAATTTCAAACTGTGACCATTTGATCGATTTGTAAAAAATCTTGGATTAGTTTAATTTGAAAAATGTGATGTAAAAGTATAGTTTAGGAACTGAAGGACCTTTTAATCAGCAAACAGTTAAGCTTGAAGAATTTGGCTGTAATTGATACTGATAATGCCTCAGTGATGGTTGGTATAAACAATGGCGTTTATGCCAAGTTGAAGGAAGCTAACCCATTATTAATACTTATAAAATGTATGCGTCATTCATTGCAGCTAGCATTATCATATGCTTCATCTAAATATTTACCAAGGAATTTGGAATACCTTTTTGCTGAAACACTTTACTGGTTTTCCAAATCATTTGTCTCTTAAATGCTTTCATGCCATTACAAATTTGCTTAATGAGACTAGAGAAATAAGCCTACTGTTCCACTTATAAAGAAATTTGAACAGCTAAAGCATACCTGGGTCATTTTGGATCTGAAGCTTCAACTTCATTATCCAAGCTACGTTTATCCTGTTGATCCGGTGAGGTAGGCATCAGTGAAGGTGAGGACATGATTATGTAGGGTAAGTCATAACAAAAGCTTTGTAATTTTTGACTTTTTCAATTTGGATATTTTTTCTAGATCTTTTCCACGCAGATTTAGATCTTTTTAGATATTTTTTGACACTGTTTTGGATATTTTTTGTCAAAGAAAAGTGGCAACACTGCCATGCACCCAAGTTTTCGTTGTACACAACAGCTACAGCACAAGCGGATGAACTCCACACTTACAGCGATTTTATAATCGCTCAGTTGTATGGACACACACATTTACAGTAATAGCACATCGTGAGTATTGCTTTTTTAATAGACCAAGTTATGTATATCAGTTATCACTTGCAGCGACGCATTTTCAGAATTTTGAAAAGAAAACGTGAATGTAGTTGGTGAAAAATCGCAACCAACGCGTCTAAACTTGACATTTAAAAAGCAAAATTATAAAACTTAAAAGAAAACAAAACTCAAACTGAAAACACTAAACTAAACATTCATATACTTGTGTCTGTGAATGAAAGCGCACGTTATTCATTGGGGTTCCTACTTTACTTTGTTTATATTTTTTAAGTTATGAGCATAATTAATAATTTAATTTAAATTGTAAAATTTGGGCTCTACTGGCAAATCCGGACGAAGAATAAACAGACTTGGACGACTTAGTCAGAGTTATCTCCCGTCGCCGCACTCCGAAAAACAAACGAAACAAACGACAAACTTACCTATCATCCTGCGGTTGCGTGTAGGGCTGCGTACGGTTGCGTGAGACATCGTGGCATCATCATATGGTTGCGTGCACAGTTGCCTACGGTTGCGTGAGGCATTGTGAATGGTTGTGTAGTCATCATCATGCGGTTGTTGGATTAGAGTTAGGGGTAGGGTTAGGGTTAGGGGTAGGGTTAGGGGTAGGGTTAGGGTTAGGGGTAGGGTTAGGGTTAGGGGTAGGGTTAGGGTTAGGGGTAGGGTTAGGGTTAGATGTGAAAATTTTGACTTAGGATTTCGAAATACTGGCCGACAATATGATGTTTGTGGGAGTGACGCCACTGAAACTCTGCCAAATATGACGCCAATAGCGTGCGGCTGGTGCCCCCAATCGTTGGCGAATTGTGCGTGTGACCAGCATCCAGAGGCCCTCGATTGTTTGTTTGTGTGTATGGGACTGTGCGCGATTATAGGGAACTCCGGCGTCAAAATTGTCAAATCTAACGCTAATCCTAACCCTACCGCTAACCCTAATCCTAATCCTAACTCTAACCCTAACCCTAACCCCTACCCCCCTAACCACGCAAATTTATCGATCATTAAAGCATACAAATCGGCAAACACCAACAAACAAAACACGCCCAAAAAAAAACCACCCAGAATTGTCCTGCAGTGTCGAAAAAAAAACCAGATCTGGGGGAAACAACCAAGCATTGGCAGCCCTGATGTCGACGTGACTGTCTTCTTTGTTTCGTTGTGGATTTTCCGATCACTGTTTGGAGTGCAGCGACGGGAGAGAACTCTCACTAAGTCGTCCAAGGCTATTTATTCTTCGTCCGGATTTGCCAGAAGAGCCAAAATTTGTAATGAATCATTCATTATGTCAGACAGACCAATATTCTGAAGTGAGTAAACAATTTAGTAAAGTTAAAGTTAAAGGCACTAAAGCTGAGATAATATAGCTCAATACAGCCCAGTTGTATTTCTTTCTAGTCTCTTATTAAATTAAAAACATGTTTATTACCTTTTATGAAATAATTATTAAATTAAACTTAAAAACAAAGTGTTGAAAAGTAACAATAATTTAGGTACTTTGGTCAAATTTTCAAAATGCTCCTATACTAATACAACCAGCACAGTTAGATAGCTGTAAACAATCTCTTTCCAACGGTACCTAATTTATGCTTATGTCAATTCTAAGCCGAGATATCTAGGTTTTTGTGGAAATGAGATGTAAACAAACAGCTGTTAAAACTCGCGTCCCAGAAACAGGAATTATTTAAGAACTGTTATGGTTTAAAATGCAGTAAGTCACAAGACAAAATGGCAGACCATTTTTTTAGACACAGCCGTAATAGCTATTACCTGAAAAAAATGTCTACTGTAAATCAACTAAGCCATACATAAGACATAAGAAAGAAATTTTATATACAAATGTAAAATTGGACGGAGAATTCAATTATAACTAGCATTACTCATTACCATGTCAAGTAATGTTAAAGCCTAAAGCCAACCTTGAATACTTCGCTATTTTCAATCAAACTGATGTAACAGAAAAACAGAGCACGTCAGGCTGTCGTAGACATGTGCTGTTAATCGGGTTCGTTCCCGCCGTTTTAAGCTATTTATAGCTGGTCAAAATCACACCAATCGAAAAATTTCATAAGAGATTAGGACCCATCCCGAAACCAGCCAACATTTCCCATACAAGTTTTGAACAGTTACCGGGTAACGGAAATTCCCGAAAAGACCGCAAATTGCCGAACACGGTAGTCGCTATAATAGTTAGTTAATTCGGCTATCCTCCGAATAATGGCCACATACTGTGGTGGCCAAAAACAGGGCCTCAGTCACATGTAAATTGTGGACTTTCGGCGACTATACTGCCACTGCCGAGAATATCTCCCACGCCACTACGCGGGGCTAAGCTAGATTACTGGGACTCACAAGCAAAGCTGCAGGAGATGCGAAAGCTGCTGCTGTGAGTGTTAGCCATCTAGTTCAGTCCCGGGCCGCTATACTCTCGGCGGTATAGGCGCCGCTCTGCAATGTAAATCACTGCAAGTCCGCAATCTACATGTGGCTGAGGTCATGTCAGGGTGTGTTCTTTTACCGCCATAATATGTGGCCGTTATTCAGAGGATTGCTGTTAATTTTGCTGCAGATTATTTATTTCTCATGAAAATCAGATTTGACACTTGACATTAAGACCGTTTAAGTGAGTTGATCCCACCGTTTTTATTATGTCTGCAGGTAATTGTTGCTGATAAATTAGTGTATTTTTTTTAACCAGCTCGCAGCCTTGTTTGATGTGGTCAGTATAAAGTTATACAGCCAGCAACTTTTACTTTCAAGAGCACTTCCAAGTACTCATTTTAGGTTATGTTGACTTTAGAATTCAGTCAAATTTTAATAAACATATCTTTGAGAATTTGAACACATGGTTGTTGGACAAGCTTGCAAGGTGCCAAACCACAGTGCTGTGAATTAGTCATTATGTTTTTTTTAAACTATTATTATTAGATTATTATAAAAAATATCAGTTCGGTCACTGCTGTAGTATATTTCCTGGAAACAAACAAATTTGTATGTCACAAATGTTGAAACTTTGAACTCAGTTCGCATGTTTATAACATTGAAAGAATGTTATTTTAGCATTTTTAGCCTTTTTATTACTGTTTGCTATTAAAATGCATATATAATATGGACGGCGCCATATGTTAAATGATCTTCATTTCTTTCTTCCACAGGGCTTGGGGAAGGGTACATCACAATGGTGGTCAGGAAATCTGAATATCAGAAGCAGTACAAAGCATGTATCATCAAGAAAAATGAAGGGGCTTATCTGGAAAATCTTAACCTAAGACATCAGCGTCGAGACCGAGAGTTTCTGCACACTCCCATCTGCTGGGAGAATTCTAGTGATGAGGATGAGAAGACCTCGTCTGGCTGCAGTGAAGAAGAGCAGTCTAAACCTAAAATACAACCACACAAAGAGCCTGAATACCAGTCACTAGCAGAAATTTTGTCCGATTCCAAGAAGAAAGCAGAATCTGCAAGAAGGCAGGCATTTCTGGAAGGATTTAAGAGACCTAGTGATAATGCAAATGGCATCACTGGCGAAGAAAAACAGCTAATTAATGCAGATGTGCTAACCAAATTAAATATGGAAGAGAAAAAACAAAATGAAACAGGCAGCTTGAACAATACGACAAAGAATGAATCTGTAGCTGTTAAATCAAATGTTGTAAATGACCCTGTGGCTGATGAGAACAGAAGATCAAACAAAGCTGACTTGACACGTGCTGCAGAGTTAGATAGGAATAATCGGGATGTGTCTGAATACAGAAGTTGTGTTGTAGGTGGTTTGCTCAAAGAAGACATTAAACTGCCAGCTGTGAATCAGAAAATAAAAAAAGAACGAAAGCGAAGTAAGGAACCTGAGGGGTTTAAGAAAATAAAACCATCCTCTGCATTAGGTAAGGCTTTGTTATGTTTGATATGTATTGCATTTGGTACTATTGTACTATATTTTATTAATTTGTCTTAACCTTATACAACTGAACATATTCTCAAATATCTCACATTTGCAAACTTTTTTTTTTTTTTTTTTGATAACTGCAGTATTTTTTTTGGTTTAGTAATCTGTATGGTAACAGTGGCTTTTTATTTTTATATTTTCTGTTGTGCGTGTCTGCTTTTGTCTTCGGAACCTATGAGTGCCAATCAGTAATAGATAATTTATTTATCATGCTGTTTCAGGGGCTTAGGAAATTCTCATGGTATGCTGGCAAGTCGTTTAAGTACAGGTTTCCTTAAAAACCATTTTGGAAGTTCTAATCTGTCATAATTTACAGGCATTTAATTTTTGAAAATAAATGTTCACATACATAAAGTTCTTAATTGACTTCATTACTTTTAGCAGTGGTGCTTTATTCAAATCACGTGTATTTGTTTCAACTGCAGACAGACGCTGCTACAGCTCTCGTCTTTCCAGCGTTACTGAAGGCAGTTATGTGCCACAGCTGTTATACACACCCAGAGCTAGGAAGCCACATCAATCCCACATCCCCAGAACAAAGTCTACACCAGTCTCTCCAGAGACACCACTGAAAGAGAGACCACTTTTTCTTGCATATGGCGCTGGTGATAAGGAAGACAGCCTGACCACACACAGAACGCATAATGTCAGAGCCCCAGTTGATGTAAGCTCCTAATTTTATTTCTTTGTGTGTGTTAGAGGGAAAGTTGAGGATGGACTTCATTGCACCAGGTTTTATTCCATATAGTTAGATTTTTCCTCTGCAGAACATTTAACGGCCTGCTCAGAACAAAGCACAAACTCCATAGCTCCAGGGACAGTCCCCATTGGATCTCCCTAAAAATTACATCAGTGAACTGACTGTGCAGCTGTGAAACGAAACTCCACAACCTTCAGAGCGTGAGGCAAACGGCTTGACCACTTCACCACAGATATCCCCAATGTGTGTGTGTATATATGTGAAAACATACACACACACATGTGCACACACTTTAACCGTACAAGTTACTAAAAGTAGGGTATTTATTCAGAGTCATCACTTCTTGGAATCATATTTCTAGCTCAGTACTTCAAGATGTGGTAGATACTTGTTAGCTGTCTGAAAATCTTAGATTCAAATCCGCATCGAGATAGATATTTAATTTTGTAAACAATTGATTCTTGTCTTCCATGTTGACCTCACATAAAATGAATACCAGGAAATCTGGAAACTAAAGGCAGCTAGCATCATGCTGACCACATCATCTGTTGTCTGTTTTGTTTTATATACATTTTTAGATTGTACAGTTTTAATACATGCAGGGGTCCCTGTAATGCATATCCCAGATTATATGGGTTGCTTTAAAATGTGACATATTCTCTTTCTAGGTGTACCCCTCAGCTCTGAGAGCAAAAGTGAGGCGCCAGGAGGAGCACAGGAGACAGGCGGACAAGATACATAAAGCTGCCAGCACAGAAACTATGTTAGAGAAACTGTGCGCTCCTGCTGCAGACCTGGCTGGCTGGGAGTCTGAGTATCGCAAGCAGTTTCATGGATATCAACCAAGAGACTATGAGAAAGCTGTGTCAAGCCATGCTGTGATTCCCCGATCTTCATCGGTCCGGGCAGTACATAGAGGCGGCTGTCTTTTAGTTCATGTTGACTAGGCTCGATAGTGAACAATCTGTCTAGCTTAATTCATCCATTTTCTCACCCCTTAAAATCCCTGTAAAGGATGTAATAATGTCTACATTTATCCCCACCTATTTTATTTTTTAATACTAATAGATTGATTTACTTATTTAGGTAGAAACATTGATTGTCAAGGAAATACAAAGACACAAATTATGCCAAGCAATGGTAAAGCTTTAAAAGCATGAACAAAATCTTGGAACTCTATTTGGTTTTAGAGTCAAATTACAAATGTTCAGTTATAATGTTATTTCAGTTTAAGATGTGCTGGAGAATCACCAAAGACAGGGAACAAAAATTAAATACAGCCAAAAACAGATGCATGAGGAAAATGATGAACATGAGGATGACTTCTAAAAGAGTGAAAAATTAGGAGAAATGTCTGAAGCAACCACTAGGATCAACAGTTATAAGACAGAAGATAGCTCTATATTGAATACATTCTGATAAGGGACAGCCATTGAAGTGGGAAGTAGGTGGATTGAGGAAAAACCTTAAGATGAAGAGAGGCCAAAGGTGCTGGACTGGATTCCATCCATTTGATTGAAGTGATGGCACAGGATAAAACTGAGTGGACTAATATATTGTGAGCACTATGTGACATATATTGGCACAAAGAGACGATGAATGAATGAATTTTGATATTACTGATGTGATGTCTAAATCTGACTAATCATATTATATTTGATCATAATTTCAACTATAATAGCTTGTTCTGTTTTCTTTCTTTGTTTCATCATCATCTTCAGTCCATAACACTACATGTCGTTGGGTCACCAGTTTCTGTTGACTGTCTGATCATTTCTCTCCACTTTTGACGGCCAGTTGCGATGGACTTCATGGTTGCATGCCTGTCCAGTCAGTCAGGCTCTGTAACCAGGTCTCTCTTGGTCTGCCTCTTCTCCTCTTTCACCTCTACTGAGCTTTGCAGTATTGTTTTCTGAGAGGCCACTAGATCTTATTACATGTATCTGATCTATTAGTCAACAGCATGGTGCGTCTCGGGCAGTATGTCAACCCTGGCGGGGCACACTCCTCTCCAGGTGGCTATCTCCCTGTTAGCCTGTATCCTCACGGATATAGTCTCCAGTCTGCACCATGGGGAGGTGTGGTTGGCTTGTGTGATTACAGGACAGCAGCAGGCTATTAGTTTTCACTTTTCACCCTCCTAGGGGAGCTAGCTGCCCCCAACACTGCTGGCTGCAGTGCCAAGCGTGACCACACCTTACAGAACTTCTTTGTTTAGTTTTGTATTTTTGTGCACTATTAACTTTCCCAGTGTAACCTATAAATATATGTTCCAAACGATAAGAGGGGCCAAATTGGATTCTGTATATGATATATTGAAAAACGTGATAGAATGAAAGGGACTGCAAGCCCTATGTGATGTATAATGGTACAACAGGATGTAGAAATTCAAAAGCAGTTTGTTTTGTCATTCATTTTCCTTGGATTTTGTTTCATTGCTCATCACATGCATGATTGAAGAATTGCTGTGAAAACAGACGTCCCTTCTCAGATGTACATCTTCCTTTGTCTCTTGCTGCTTTGTGGTTTTCAGAGTTGTCTCTGTTTTAAACTGACAGGTGCTTTTGCACGTGAAGTGCTCATATTTTTCATTCTTATGTTTTTTTTCTTAAACATCATGTCAGCCAACATAGAACTAGCTTTAACGTAAGGCTGTGAATAATTACTAAAACAAACCACACATGAAACCTTAGAGGTGTGATTTTACCTAAGATTGCTAAAGATCTTCAGACAGCACAGTTAAAAGAAATTAATCAGGATGTTTTAAAGAACAAGACCCAAAGACAAATATCAGAGAGAAGCAGATAATGTTTTTAAACCACATTATGAAAAGAGAAATCTTGAAACAACTGGAAAGATTTATGGGAAGATAGCTAGAAGGTTATTTACAGCCCTTTGTTGTGGCATGAAGGAGTGTGTGCAGATGAACTGATATAGTGCAGACCAATAAGGTGATCGCAGATGTGACGAAATTCAGTTGTGAAGAACAGTTTGTTTATCCCTGGCAGTGTTTCTTGCTTGAACTCTTCCCCGATCCGAGAGATTTCTCAACTGTTTCTTGGTTCTCTAGAGAGTTCTCCCTAAAAAGTCTGCATGTACATGCTGTTAGAGATTGCAAGATGTGGAGAAGCCTGATCAACCCTGCCAGTCAGAAAGGTTCTGCCGTTGTCTGGGTCATGACTCCCTTATAGATATGAATGTCCTCTGTTGGTGTGCTCTCACTATGTGGTTGTTGATACTGTTTGCCTTTTTTGTGTTTATTAAGCCATCGGTCAATATTTTTCTAGAATCCTAATTGTCAGGGGAGAACTATTGTCAGTAATCATATTTATAATCAAGGTCAGTTGGAATGGATCATTCGAAAACAAATGTCTGAGAAAAATGATGAAAATGAAATGGGATGAATTCAAAAGGAGTAAAGAAATAAGAGAAATGACCAGGCAGCCACTAGTATCAACAGTTATAAGACAAAGAAGATGGCGCTAGACTGGACACATACTGAGAAGAAACTAGCAGAGAATGGGAAATAAAGGGATTAAGGAAGCGAGGTCACACACAAAAACCTAAAACAAACGTCGATGAGAGAGGCCAAAGCTGCTGATCTGGATCCTATCCATGATATTGAACTGATAGCACAGGATGGAATGGAATGGTGGAACTTACTGTGAGCCCTATGTGACATATAATGGCACAAGAGGATAATAAATTAGTGGAATGGATCACTGGCACTCTGTCTTTCACTATAATTGTAGTCTCTCTTTTCGCTCCATTACTTATTTATGCTGTTGTCTTTTCTGGCACATTCACTGTTTATTTTTTCATCTGTCATTGTTCTAAGGAGAAATGTCTGTGCTCGACGTATGTTTTTATTAAAATTTGGTCTAAACCAGTTTTGATACCTACAGGGGTTTTCTGTAATGCACACACCAGATTATATAGGTTGCTTTAGAATTTGATGAAGTAAAGGTCATGTGCATTCATAAAGAAAAAGTATTTTCTTCTTCTTCAGCGTTCCGAGCCCTCGAGGTTCTTTGCTGCAAATATCACTCGCCTCTAGTTGGCCTTCTCTTCCCAGTTGTTGATGCCAAGTGTTTGCAGGTCTGTCTGGACATGATCTCTCCCTCGTCTTCTTGGTCTGCCGCGTGGTCTACAACCATTCATCTCCCTTGTATATATAGTTTTTACTTCTCTGTCATCTGACATTCTTTCAAATATGCCCCAACCATTTCAGTCTATTACCCTGAGAAAAAAAATTCCTGCTAAGGCCATAGAAACTTTTTGAAGAGATACTGAATTGCATATTATAACCTACATTTTATCTTCATTCTTGGAGCTTTATGGTGTGAGCAGAAAGTCTCTGACCTAATGTAACAGACTCATAAAGTGGCCTGCATCACTTGTTATGATTTATGTCACGGGCAAATTGTGGATATTCTACCCAGGATATGCAAATCTGCTGCTACTGTCCCTCCCCTAAAACTCATGTACTTAATTATGAGACAGAAAAAAGCGCCCATTGATCAGGTACATCCAAACCTCGTACTGCTGGTTCAGCAACGAGTGGAATGAAAACCTACCCATAGGGAGTCATAAAAATCATCATCAACCTGTTGCACTATTAGAATGTTAGCCAGGTTGCCACTGATGTCATCGACATGGGAACTACATACGTACCTGGAAAGATGGATAGAGCACACATAGAAATGACCCAAGAGCAGTGTTGCCCATTTCAGACTCATTCTTTAATGCCCAGGCCAGCATCATTTGTACATGTACAATGGAACAGGCACAGAGATTTTGTAGACAATTTAAACTTGATCTTATTTTCTCATCTTTTTTTGGGGAGGTCACTGGTTGTATATACCAGTGTGCTACATTGTGTCAGTATACATCATCATAACAGTGCAGCTAAGTCTGAATATCTTTGATGTGATATTTGGCTTTTTCTTTTTATATATATATATTATTATTTAATCTATTCTTTTGTATCTAATTCAGTAATACTCACATAACAATGTAACACACACTTGTAAAATATCAGCTAATTTTAAAAAAATTCAATCACCTTATTTCGCATATATAATTTGCTTACATGTTGGTGATTATTTAGCCACAGTAAAATGAACCACATGTCAACAAGATTATGTAGACACTGCCTTTGGGCTCGGAGTGTTGCTGCAAGTAGTGGACACATGGAAGAAACCATTTGTATATTATTCTAGCTTTGTTAGACCTAAAGTATTTTTTGGTCATAGTGATGTAGAAATTGATGGTAGAACTTTTACCTTATATTACTATTGTTGAAATTAAAATTTATGTATTCCAGTTATCTTACTTTTACTTTAAAGCGATTTTTTTTAAAGTATTTGTAACTGTGTTTTTTCATTAATAGAAGAAGAAAGAATAATTTAATTTCGTTATCTTGATTTTATGGCTTGTGAACTCAGTTTCACAGTCCCGGCATACCACAGTTTGGATTAAGCTGCAGTTAATTTGATAGCAGACACTGAACTAACAATAAACAGTTCAAGCCTTGTTTCTGTAAACAAGTGATTAACTAGTTAGTTGTGTATGCCTTACAGAATGTTGCAGAACCAACCCAACATGTTTTTGCTGAGGTGGTTTTTGTAGGCAAATTTTACATTCAGTAGTTTGTAGGGCTGTACAGAATACAAATAGTGGGGCCAACTATTCGGCCGACTACGAATAGTGTATCATCATCATCAGGTGCCTTGCCAACTGGCGCGGGTCAATATGCCTCGCCACAATCTGCGATCTCCTGCAGCATGTATTAGTTCGTGTGCTGACACACCTCCATGCCATGCAACAAGACTGTCAAGAATCTTCTCTCGTTGTCTTCCACAGATCTTTCCAGTGGTCACACATGTTCCATTTTCCCTCTTCTCATTACATGGCCGAAAAATGATGACTGTCTCCTTCTGATGTC